TCAATTCCGAATTCAACATTTATATTTTCCATTTTAATATTATTTTAATAAACATGACAACGTTTATTTCAATACTATTTGTGTGTTTTTAATGCTTGGTCTAATATTTAAAATGGCGCCATAGTTTTGTTTACCCTGACTTATGGTAATTAGTTTGTTTCTGTAAAGCGCCCTCTAGTGGTGATCGGTTATTACGAACACCGGTTATAACGAATATATTCACCTGGGGCCTTGATATTCGCACTAACGAGGTTTGACTGTACAACACTGGTCTTTGGCTTTAGAATGGCATAGCTTGTTTTAGTAAAGTATGCTCTAATTGGTTAACAAATCTCATCAGAGAAAAGCTGGAAAATATTGGTCCAGATACAATTAACTTGGAATGGTCTCTCTGGATTCCAGTAGCTTAAGAGGAAAATGATAATAAGTGAAAAATAGATCAGAATGATATCTACAGTCACTTTATTCAACTCATCATTTCACATACAAAATTTATGAGTCCCACTTGTAATCCGGAAATATCACGAATATATGAATGTTACAGAGATAAAAGTAGGTGCATTGCATCATCGTTTTGCTGGTTTAGGAAGTAGATACACTTTCACAGGTTTACAAAGTTCAATTATTCCCTTTTCTTCTGTTGCTGAACTTTGACCTGGATCAAGAACTGCTTGAGGTTGAGTGTCATCTCTGTGACTCATCACAACACAAAAGTTTATACTGCAGGGTTCTGAAACATGAATAAGACATAATAGTGAAACCATTTATTTTTACTGGCATTTAATTTCACTACATTGAGCTGGTTTTAGATTCAGTTCTATTGTTATTTTACATGCTCACAAAAAAATGTATTTGGCAGTTTATACAACAAATAAAATGGTTTGTTGCCAATAACAACATATTTTAATATTAAAATTTGACAACTTTGTAAGTACGTTGTTGGACCCATGTACCTTTCACTCGAGCATTCACTATAATGCTACTTCGCATCAGTCATTTTTCCCCCTCGTAGTGTAAGTGATTTAAAATTTCAATTGATGTATTAAAACTCATTTTGTACTGCTATATTAGATCGCAAAGACAAATTTCAAGAATTATGCAGATTATGGAACCAGTGACTGACTCTTCTGTTAACTGTGAACTTTTCATGTTTTCTGCTTTATCATGGCAGCAAATTCACTGGTATTGACAATGCTACAAAATAACAATGAACTCGCCAACTCATAATGGACTCTAGCAGTTAGTGCTGCATATATATATATATATATATATATATATCGCACAAAGTGTACTTTTGCCCATTATTGTGTGAAATCTTGTAAGCCATAGTGACTTACCTGACCAGACACCATGTGAGACGTACACCTGGGTCAACAATCTGTACTTTAATGGACTTAATTTTTTAAAATCACAGGTCCTGGGAGTAATCAGTTGTGTTGTACCATCGGGTAACTGAACCTGTAGGAAATAATATACATTTGTCACATTTCTATGACTGAAGAATCGTTCTATATTATGGCAAGAATATGTAAATGTTCCAACTAACAAAAGATCTTTCACTAAAGTGTAGTCATTTCATGAAACTTAACATGGGTTGAACAACAAATAACGGGTCGACCTCTACCCTGGGTGAGTGTGCCACAGACTCAATAGGAAGGCTAAATCAACTGGCCGAGTTTCATTCACTAATGAGTGCAACTTTGACGAAAGCTTGGTTAAGGTCCGCAGGTATGAATATGGTTGCCGTGGCAAAATGGACTATATGTTAGCATATGCACTTGCAATTTGAACATGAACGTCAGGTGAGACAACAGTGAC